CCTTCTTCCCCCTTGTATTTGACTGTCAGTATAGATATAGAAAAGACAGAGCTCAGGAGAGGCAGTGCAAACTGCTCTTACAATTATTCTCCTTCTGTATTTAGTATTTTAAAAATCTGTAACATTTAAAAAACTTTGATGTTAGATCAGTTCTTTCTTCAAGGCTCTTCATTCAAAAGATTTGGAAATAATTATTTAGATAGAATACAACATAAAAAATCATGTATTTGTTGTTTCATTCATTGATTTTTATTATATATATATAAAATAAAATATATATATATATGACTAGGTTGTGGAAGGAACAAGTTTCAGAACCATGTTGGGTATTCCATATATAACACTGGTTTGGGAAAAATTTTATCATTTTCGAGTTTATACTTATTTAACTTGAGTGATGTTGGGACATCCAGCTGAAATGGACTAATAGGCAGGGAGAAGTTTGGCTTATAATCTCATAAATTCTAGTTAGTCATTTAGATTGTGCAAGTTTCCCAAGGGACAGTTAAGCAAAAAGAAGGACAAATGATCAAGAACTAAGCCTTAGAAGGTTCTCATGTTTAAAAAACAAGATTAAAAACTGAGAAATCAGAACAAGAAGCAGAGGCGTTGAAAGGGAAGAAGAAAATCAAGGTAGTTCAGTGTTTCAGAAGTCAATGCAGAAAAGCAGTCTTGGAGAGGCTGCCCTTCATGGAGCTTGAAATACTGACAGTGGGGTGGCTTGCAAAGGAGCCAGTTCAGAAGGATATCTGAGAGTCATGTGGACCTCCACCTCTTTGTGACACTTGACAGTTGTGAACTGCTCTCTGGTCTGAGCCCCATCTTCAAAGTTCTGGAGTCATTCAGGGTTGAAAAAAAGGATCATAAATACATTCTTAAAAGTGATTTACCCTAGAGGGCTGCAGACAGTTATTCTAGGATAAATATTGAACATTAAAATCATTGTAGAATATATATTTTATTTTTTAATACTTATCCTTCTCTGGACTTATCATTTTCTTAATCGATGCATTGACTTTTCCAGTCTGGTTTCTTCTTTTCTGTTCTACTACTGCAGTACTGTGAAGCTTGTGTGCGGGTTTTCCTCCTAGGTTTTCGGAACTCAGTTAGCCTGGGCATCATGTTCTTTACTTCATTTTATGGGAAAGAAGTGGTTACAAAACAAGCTTAGTGCTTTTCCAAAAAAAACAAAAACAAAAACAAAAAACAGCTAACTGGCTTCAGAGACTGGAGTAAAGTTTCCAGACTGGATTATGAGTACCTGTGATTTCTGTTGTTTTAAGTTTATATTTATGCTATATCAAGGACAGAGACATTTTAATGTGAGGCAACAACAGCTAGATCTCAGCTATACTCTTTTACCTTAGATAAGTCACTTCACCTTTCAGCACCTCATTTTTGTCATATATAGAATAAGCATAATAGTACATTTTTTCATAGGGCTATTGTCAAGATTAAACAAGCAAATACACATAAACTCATAGAACAGTGTCCTCAAGTAGCAAGCAGTCAATATATGTCAGCTATATTGTTGTTGTTGTTATTATTATTCCTTGGTATGTTTAAAACAAACGTTAGGCCTCTTCTTGAGGAATTCATAATGTTGTCTGCAATTAATTTGGAAAAAAAAAAAGCAACTTAAGCTATATCCCTGAGAGGCTGGTGGACTTAGAATATTTTAGTTTGATTCTAACTCTGCCATTTATTATCTGTGCACTTGGGAAAGTTATTTAAACTCTCTGAACTTCAACTCCTTTTGTAACAGAGGACAGGAAATGGTTTGTTTCATGGAGTTACTGTGAAGATCAAACAAATTAGGCATATAAAAGATTTATCTAAATTATGAGGCTGTATACATGTAAGACACTATTTTTGTGTTTGTTTTTTGACCCCTCATAGGACACTAAATCAAATGGAACCCTGTCCCACAAAATTATTGCTTAAATAGAATATGGAAGCAGGTTGTATAACACCATTCATTTTCTCTTGTTTACATATATCTGACTTCCTTCCTTTTTTCTTCCTCCTTCCTTTCCCTTCTTCTTTTCCCTCTCTTCCCTTCCTCTCCTTCTTTCTTTCCTTCACCAATTTTTTTTGTGCTAGGCCCTGTACTATGTATATTGCAAATAATAAAATCAGTTGTCCTTGTCTAGTATGGGAAACAAACACACGAAACAGTAACCAATTATATGACATGATAAATAAATGCAGCAATAAGTATAGGAACTAGATAGGGAGGTTTAGTTATGCAGTTACTGATTGTACAGGGTTTTTGAGAATGTGTTCATCTATTTGTGTTCCCTTTGTATTACAAAAATTTTAAATACAGAAAATAAAACTTGAATCTTAAACATGAGTCATAAGTACCTTGTCCGAGCATTTATCATATATGCAGGGTGTTTTTAAGAATACATATCAAGTAATTAATTAGCAAATATTTAAATTTTTAAATATTTAGGTGAAAGATGTTTGATTGGAGTCTAATAATTTTATTAAGTGACTGAAGTTGGTGTCCTATTGATAATAATTATATATGATACATAATAATTAAAATATGACTATCTCTTATGAACAATGAAAGGCAGTCTCTGAAATACGCAGATCTTTTTATTGATATCCAAATTCCAAATAACTTCTCTTTATCTTTGAATCCAACCCACAATGATGAAAAAAATTCTGATCAATATTTGAAAACTCATGTCAGCATGGAGAAATATTGAAGTAGAAGATACAGTTTTAGCCCTTTATAAATTTGTAATCCAATGAAAAAGAAACAAAAATTATATTCCTATGTAGCTTCATTTGTTGTACTGAGATACGTGAACACAAGTGAGGAGTTGTGAGATCAAGTGAGATAATTATAGCTGGGTGACTTAATCTGAGGAGGGCTGCAAAAGGAATTCCAGAAAAGATCTCAATGAGCCTCTCATCTTTCCTTTTGCATTCTGTTCTCAAAGTTATTATTTCTTTGGTTATTTGTGGTAATTGGGTCATATCATAACCTTTTCCCCCTTCTTATCTGCGTCATCATTGAACATCTCTCTGTGCACCCCAGTCTTTTCATCCACCCATCTGTCTAACTGCTCCGATCGCCTCCTGCCGCGTCTCTTTCCAGTAGGCTCCTAGCTCAGCCCTGCCGCCACCCACCTCTTCCTTTTATGCTGCAATGCACAATGAGCTCAGAATGGCATCAAACTGATCTCCCTTTACTTGAAGGATCACAACACCATTGCTGCGAAATACAGGATGTTTCGAGGTTGACTCAGCTTCCTTGTCTTTCTGTCTGCTAGTTAAACGTCAATTTAAAAAGAATTCAAATTGCTTAATTCAGACTGTATCACAGAGTAATTCTTCCTCTGTGGAACTTGAAAATTTGTTTCCAGTTCTTCTCAGACTGAATATTATATTATAATTATATTCACACAAACCTATTAATGGCATGTATTTAAAGCTTATTTTCACATATCTCATGACAAATTTGAAAAATAAATATTACTATAAACAGTGAAAACATTTACAGCAAGTAGGTAGTCAGTATCTAACACTTTAGAAAACATATTTTGCTATCTAAAGTCCCTAACCCAATAGAGTAGTTATTAGTTTATTGGTTACTATATCTGACCATATTGACTAAATTCTAGGGAGAGTGAGGAAAACAATTACAAAGAATTTGATATCGGATGTTACAGTGGGCTTGGAATATGCTGTATGTAATAATAGCTAACAGAACAGCGCCCTCTCTGGCAGGCACTGTTTTAAGTGTTTAACGCTTGTCTATGCTCTGAGTCGTGTACCACCACTGTCCACATCTCACAATTGAGAAGTGAGGCCACAGATTATAAGGAACATGTCCAGAATGACCTAGTCAGAATGAGGTCGACTCAGGGTTTGAGCTCAGACATTCAAGTTTCCAAAACCCATTCACTTAATGTACCATCTACTCAGTAATAATATGAAGCCTTCTGTCCATCTTAAATATATT